TATATGTTGATGCAACTGCAGTGTGTATTGTAAGATGCTAACTGAGTTTTTTCCTGATTGTTCTATGCTTACGGGTTGTTCCAGGATCGAATCTTACGAGGAATGGCGTCGTTTTATTCACTCGCCGTTCTGATCGCTACATTAAATTTCATTCGCGCTGCTTGCCAAGGCTCAGAGCACCTGGAACAGGCAAAGTTTCTTTTCTCATTAATTTTATGGTTCAAGCGCGGGCGGCACAGGCCGAAGAGATGTTTTACGATTACCATAAGTCAATTGATTCCTTACACTGCGAGATCATTTGAGGAATTGTTTATGCCGTTACATAATCTGATGAAAAAAAGATAACATACAAACAATTTTCCCTCCATGAGAAATACACTTAATAGGCGTGGAGAGGGTAAATCGTTATCTACTTACTTATACTTTCTGCTGTTTACAGGAAGATCGAGACCAAAAGCTCTCTCAAGTGAGTATTTGCCGACTTCATCAATTCATGGATTATTCATGGCTATATTTTAAACAGTATTTAATGACCTTGCCCAGGTTCGAAAAGTGGATAACGCTATCCACTGGATAAATCACTATCCAGTAAATAGCATGGTTTGTTTTGTTAACACTTATCCACTGGATAGCGATTTATCCGGTGGACAGCGTTATCCAGCCTTTGAACAACTGGGGCCTGATGGGAAACGTTGCGACCCAAACTGGTATCTGGTCGTGCATGGGGAAAAAACAGTAACCGAAAACAGCATTTAATTAAAGTAGTGGAGATTTTCATTTATTGTATCCGACGGTAGTGGATGGAGGTTTTCATCGCAAATATGCTGTCGTAATTGTGGGCAACTAACTCTCTAGTTTTTGAGGCCCTATAATTGATTACTTTTCAACTTGCTGTCTAAAAAGTGACCCTCGAGCCAAAATCATGTCTCGAGACGAAAGTTTTCGAAAAGGGGTAAAATAGTGCCGCTTCCGGAAAAAGTTAACAACACAAAGAAAAGGGAGTCCTTGGTTGAGCAAAATTTGGCAGATGGGAACTTAATCATTATTGCTTTATATTATTATATAAAACTTAGTGGTATACTAAGTGGTAGCAAATTGATAAAAACGATATCCCATATATGAGGATATCAATGTTATCCACACGTGTGATATCATTTTTTATATCAGTTTTGTTCCTTCAACTTCACCTACAGTTTTTGGTGTATGATCGAAA